GTAACAAGCTGCAACTCAATTAACATGTTTAAACATCCAACAGGCAAAGTACATTACATTTTATTCACTTATGCCCAAACCCTTATCCCACTAAAATTAGTGGCAAAGCACCAGTTCATTTTAACATGACCAGGATTTGGCCCTTGCAGAGCTACCATAAGAACCGTAATTGAGCAAAGGTTACAAAGAAAACATAGCAACATATAATAGTAATCAGAGAAAAATCAGTAAAGGCCAAAGACTAGTATAACCCAGTGTAAATACTGGCTCTCGGTCTTCCTCAAACGCCACCTTTTTTAGACTGCTGTTGCACATTGAGCCAATGTTTTCAGAGCACTATCTAGAGAAACTCCAAAATTTCTTTCTTGAGTGGTATCAGCTAATTTAGACCCCCTCATTTTGTATTTATAATTGGGATTATATTTTCCAATGTGCATTACTTTGCATTTATCAGCACTGACTTTCATCTGCCATTTTGTTGCCCAGTCACCATATTTTGTGAGATCCCTTTGTAACTCCTTGCAGTCAGCTTCGGATTTAACTATATCAAGTAATTTTGTATCATCTGTAAACTTTGCCACCTCACTGTTTACCCCCTTTTCCAGATCATTTGTGAATATGTTGAACAGCATTGGTCCCAGTACTCATCCTTGGGGGGCTCCCACTATTTACCTCTCTCCACTGTGAAAACTGACCATTTATTCCTGTCCTTTGTTTTCGATCTTTTAATCAGTTACTGATCCATGAGAGGACCTTCCCTCTTATCCCACGATTGCTTACCTTGCTTAAGAGCCTTTGGTGGGACCTTGTCAAAGGCTTTCTGAAAATCCAAGTACACTATATATCCATTATGTCATCCTTGTCCACATTTGTTGGCCCCCTCAAAGAATCTAATAGACTGGCCAGGTATGATTTCCCTTTACAAAAGCTGTATTGACTCTTCCCACAGCGTGTCATGTTCATCTATGTGTCTGATAATTCTGTTCTTTACTACAGTTTCAGCCAGTTTGCCTGGTATTGAAGTTAGGCGTACCAATCTGTACTTGCCAGGATCACCGCTGGAGCCCTTTTAAAAAATCAGATTACATTAGCTATTCTCCAGGCATCTGGTACAGGGGCTGATTTAAGTGGTAGGTTACATACCACAGTTAGTAGTTCTGCAATTTCATATTTGAGTTCCTTCATAGCTCTTTGGTGAATATCATCTGGTCCTAGTGACTTATTACTGATTTATAAATCTGTTCCAAAACCTCCTCCATTGACATCCCCATCTGGGACAGTTCCTCAGATTTGTTACCAAAAAGAATGACATGGTGTGGGAATCTCCCTTGCATCCTTTGCAGTGAAGACCGATGCAAAGAATTCATTTAGCTTCTTCACAACGGCCTTGTCTTCCTTGAGTGCTCCTTTAGCACCTTGATCATCCAGTGGCCCTACTGATCGTTTGGCAGGCTTCCTGCTTCTGTATCGTCGGTGGCAGGCCTCAGGGAGTTCTAATGCAATATTATACATCTTGATTCAACATAATCAATTCATTGATGCAGCATAGGTGTTAAATTCTCAGATTTTCTTTGTGTAATTTTTGAGCTTTAGTTAATAGAAAGCTGAAACAAGAAGAGATAACTAGCCACAAAAGGAAAAGGCAAGATGAGTTCTAGTAGTGATCCAATAGAGATCTTACTTGGTTTTAAAAAAGAAGAACTAACATTCAGCAATTTTTAACTCGAATTTCACTTTTAGAGCCTAAAAATGCACCACAGTCTTAGTCACACATGGTCAGTATATTCTAATTCATTTTACTGTAAACAAAAAAGAGCAATAGTCGTTGTTTGAATGGTCTACAGGGCTTCTTAAGTAGACCGACACCTGTTGTGTGGCAAGACATTTTATTACCTTCTGAGCTGTAAGAGTGCTCTCTGTTCTGAGATGCTTATAATTCCAAGGCTGAATTTAAGGAAGTAAGGACAGAGTGTCTCCCTGCATTCTTAATCTCCTTCACTGATTTCATTTTAAAATCAGTTTAAACTGGACATTTATCATATTTTTGTATTTATTAAAATTAGTTTTAATGATCTATTACATAATAGTTTTATCATGTGATGATAATCTTTGAGCATAGTCAGCATAAGCACTTCAACGAGAACAGATAAGTGGCTCAGGCAACTTCAAGGTGAGTAGGAAAAAAGAATATAAATTATGTAAGAGCAGAGAACATGACAAAGATGTGTGGAACAGATAAAGCAAGGGGAGGGAGACAAACTTAAAAGGCAGAAGTTTACTCTGGTGACTCATATATTTTCCACGTAGAATTATACAGGAAATGAAACACAGTTCTTTAGGACAGTAATGAAAGTTAACCCTTGCTTGTTAATCTACAGCTTTAGAGAGAAGTTACCTGTCCCTAGCCACTAGTGCCTTCACTCCTACTCCTCCAGATCCTCCCATTTCCCTTTCAATGTGCTGTGCTTTCGTATATAGAGTTAATTAGGAGCATGCCAATTGTAATGAGTGAAATCGTAACCTATGGAGAATTTTGGAAAAGTTAGAGAAGAAGTTTTTTCATAGCACATTAAGGTTAATATTTGTGTGTATGTAAAAAGAAACCGGCATCTCTGAGGTTGAGACACATTCCATTTGTGCTTAGGAAGACATAGTTGAATGATACCTCAGCATTCCATAAAGACTGCTTTTGCAGTGCTGCTGCAGTCAAAAAGGCTATTTGATTGCTTCACAGAATAAATGAAAGATGTCTATGGAAAACAGCTTCAGTCTAGGAGACTGTAGTCATGTGTACTAAATTCTGCAATAAAGAAAAGGAGGTTCTTCTTCGAATGGTGGGTCCCTAGAAGTATTCCAATCGTGGGTGCGCATTCCTGCTATGTTTTCTTAGTAGTGTCCATTGACCTGCACATGTCTCCTTTGTACTCGCAGCCGAGGTTATAATAGGCCGTGCGGGTCAACACCTCTCCAGTTCCTTCTTACTGCCGCATGGCCTGAGTCAGAACTCTTGTTCCTTTGCGCTGTTAGGGTACGTCTACGCTACCCGCCGGATCGGTGGGTAATGATCGATCTATCGGGGATCGATTTATCGCGTCTAGTGTAGACACGATAAATCAGTCCCCGATCACTCTGCCGTCGACTCCGAAACTCCACCACGGTGAGAGGCGGAAGCGGAGTTGACGGGGAGCGGTGGCCATTGATCCTGCACCACGAGGATGCGAAGTGATTAGAAATCGATCTAAGATACGTTGACTTCAGCTACGCTGTTCTCGTAGCTGAAGTTGCGTATCTTAGATCGATTTCCCCCCCCTCCAGTGTAGACCAGGCCTTAGAGAGTGTTCTAGTCTGTTGCATATCGTTCTTGTTTTGTTGTTTTGTTTAGAGCTTACTTTGGTGGATCCTTCCTTTTGTTCTACTTCTCCAACTCCTTTGATACTTTAGCACCACTAGTTTCCTCTTTCTCCAGATTGCAAGTGTATTGTAAACCACAGTGATGGAATAAGTGGTCTTATTTGAGATTCTGGTTCTGTCATTCTCCATCTAAATTGCAGTTTAATTTGCTTGATGAAGAGTCCAGAGCCTATAATCCTTAAAGCATATATTCCAGACTGTCCATGTGTGTGTTAGATTGCATGATTTGAGTTAGTGTAGCTATGGATACTTGAAAGACATTTCCATACACAATATAGTGGAAGCAAAAATCATTAAGAAAATCTGGAAGTTATCAACAGTTTTCATTTTTTGTATTTATTCAGTGAGGGTTTTTTGGTGTGGTTTCTTTCCCCTGTCCCAAATGAATGCTGAAAAGATTTTTTTTCCAATCATTTTTCTCTCCCCTACTTCCGCTGGGCTGTTTAACTTGAATTGTCTGTCGCTACATAGTGTGTTGAGCTCCTGAAGGGGGGATTCCCCCAGGGGACTTAGGCATCTAAGTCCAAAATTCAGATTCTCAAAATTCCCGTGCAGCTGCCACCTATCCCTGTAGGTACTTAAGTTTCCATGGGTGAAGTCTGCTAGGCCCCTAAATTTCTGCTGTTGGGCATCTGCTTGGTTTCCTCAGTCCTGACACCGCTGAGCAGCTCCAAGCAGGGTTCACCATACGCATTCCCCAGATGGTTTCACCTGTGGGGTGCAAACTGGTTAGGGTGACCAGACAGCAAGTGTGAAAAATCAAGATGGGCGGTAATAGGCGCCTATATAAGACAAAGCCCAGAATATCAGGACTGTCCCTATAAAATTGTGAAATCTGGTCACCCTAAAACTGGTAGACATGCTCAGAGGCAGCCTTAGAGCCTAGTGATCGGATCAAGCCCAACACAAAACACACCTGTCTCCAGAGCCTAGGTGCCTGTCTTTGGGGTTGTGAATGCCACTTGGCAGCAGCACACCTAAAAGTTATTTGCTGTAATGCTCAGCCTGAATCCCCCTTGTGAATTCCATCCCGAGTGTCTTCCAAATTCCACGATTACAGAGGCTGCCTTGTATTTTGCGGGGATTCTTTCTTCTAGAAACAGCCGCTTAAAGCCAACTTCAGCTTTACGCAGTCATTCAAGCCCATCTTCCCAGAAGCAGAGTGTCTGTGCTGCCTTTTCAGAGTGCCTGTGGCAAGTGCCTTGGGGAGAACGCTGGGCAATACGCTGTTAGCCAGATAGCTAAGAAGTTGTATGCTAGTAAAGATCCTTAAAGGGGCTGCATGCCTAAGTTGAAATCTCACTGCTGTCTGCTTCTTTATGGATCCTGAGCTGCCAACTAGGGGGAAATTGGGCAGATTACTTCCTCCTCCCTCTGTCATGGTCCCTGGGTAAGCTGCCTCTTCTGAGACACTTTTTTCAGTCCCCCAAGTTTACCCCTTTCAAGTGACAGGCCCAACTCTTCTTTGGGTGGGACCCCCAGTCCAACTGCTCTCTATCTGGGTCTCTGGGTTACACTCCCCTGGTTGTCACCTTAACAAGAAAGACTTCGCTTTTTTTTAACCTTGATAACATTGTTTTCCCCTCCAGGTACACAGTCTTCAAGAAGCTAATGGGCAGCTGGACTCCAGATATTTTGGCGAGCTACTTGCTGAAGTGAACCGCAAGAGCAATGACCTGTACAGCTGTTTACTGCAGCATGTGGAAAAGATAGGAAGAAGGTATTGTAGACCCCCCCCCTCCTTGTGGTGTTCTAGGAATCTCAGGAATGTATACTATGTTAGAGAAAGCAGTGCTGTTTGTTTGAGCTGCATTCTGCAGACAGCTAAAGTTCATAGAGTGCGGTGCATAATAACTTAACTCCTTGAGTGTCTCAAGATGTCAGAAGCCATGCTATTTTATTGAATGCAATGAGTATTTCAAACTGTTTGACTAATGGTCAAGGCACTTTACAGAGTTAAACAACTATGTATCTCCCTTGTCAAGATAATTTAGACAGCACATAGTGCATACTGCAGTGAATATACTGCATGCTCTGACATTTTGCTTTAAGACACAGTCACATTATTGTACTCGCCTGAAGATGCAAAGAAGGAAACTACCCTGATGCCAATGTTAAGTGGCATGCTCTGGATTCAGAGACAGGTTATGTGCTCCATAATGCACAGCATCTATAGGCAAATTAAGCTGCTTTCTATATGTATTATAAACCACTTCTGAAAGAATAATTTGATACTGAATCCTCTCAGGCTGCAGCTATCTTCAAAACAAATTACAAGTTTTTCTAAAATTCCTCATTCTTCTCCTCCCCACCACTTCTTTTCTTGGACTCATTGGGCCATATCTGCCTCCTGTTCAAGCAGTGAAGGTTCTCCAGGAATGAATTTCGCCCAGTCTGTAGAAAATAATAAGATTTTAATAATACTGAGGAATTAACTCATCCAGGTACTGGTTAAGGCATTGACAGTGCTTAGAGCAATTGTAAAGGCTCTCCGATGTTGCTTGGGAAAATAAGAGGCCAGTTGGGCTGACGATAACCCTCCTTTGTTCTGATCCCTAAATTAAAAATGTGATGGAGAGCAAAAGCCTGCCCCATATTTCTTCTCATGATTGGGCGTTTTTTTTCATTCCTTTCAGATCAGCAAGAGACCTGCTGTTAATCTGTCATTTTTGTGTGTGTGTTTTACAGGACACAGGACAATGAATCTACACGTCAAGTAAGCACTCGGAGCAATCCAGTCCAAATGGTCACTATTTGTTGGTAATAACAATGGGGCAGATTCTCAGTTTTGAACTCAATGAAATTATGCCAGTTTACCCCAGCTGAGGATCTAGCCCAATCTGTAATGTAAGGAGGACAATCTTTGATAGTTGTGCACTCCTAGTAAACAGTAGGATTCCTAAATATATCTATAGCAATATGGTTTTAAATATGATGTTTTTAAACATGTATATTTAAATAATTTGTACCATTATTTAGTAGCTTATGAGGGGCAAACATTAAAACTTTTTTCCTGCGTATTTGCCTGTAAAACTGACCAGATAGGTAAAAACCTGGATAAGATGTGTGTCCCTTAAAAAGCTTCCCACTGTAACTACTTAATCATATATCACTTTCATCCTCCCACAAATGCAGCAGCTGTTTTTAACAACACTGCACAGTCTTTCTCCACAGGAAGTGAAGTGTAATATTGTCTCCAAAAGAACTTAAAGGGAATTTAGATTGACAAATGCAGACAGACAGATTAGTGAGTTACAATCTTTAACTGCTATGATTCTGTTGGAATTTGGCCAAGTGGATCACGGGCAGAAATTGTAGTTCAGTACTAACTTGGTGGAAAGAGTGCCACTTATTAAATCATGTATAGCATGTCCTGCAGCATGTAGGTCATTCTAGTCTCCATCGACTTACTGACCAAGTCTGTCCATACTTAGCATGTAGGATTTGATTTGATCACATCACATCACACGCTAGTGTAGCTGCAACTCAGTGTAACTTTTATTTCTCCAGAATAGGAAAATAATTGTTTATTATTTCTAAAATAATACACATTTTAAAATTGACACACTTTTTGCTTATTCATCAGCAAAAAATAAATATGCTTCAAACTTATGTGTCTCCATCTAAATTAGCTTTATATACAATATAAGATATAAATTTTGGAAGTTTTCTGGATATAACTTGATCTGTGTGCATGCCATTTCTCAGAGTTTTCTGTCTTTCTCATATTTTCCAAGCAGTAGAGTAATTTAATAAAGAGATCACATTGTGATATGCAGGAAGAATTCTTATTTAAGATATCGAAGCCAACAAATTGGTTTGTTTTTCTATCTTCATTATTAGGTAGAAGATATTGAAGGTTTGATTCCCAAAGGATTGTCAGAGTTGACAAAGCAGCAAATTCGCTATCTCCTGCAGGTATGCAAATGGAAAATATTACTTGCAAATCTACAAAAAACATAGTTAATTTGAGGCAGTTAGTGTTTGCCTTACACCTGGAAGCACAGATGTCTTACACATTTTTATTCTATCTAATGTAACTATGAATATTATTCCTATAAACATCTAATCCTTTTTTGAATCCTCCTAAGGGTTTGGCCTTGATGTCTTGTGGCAGTCATTTCCACAGACTAATTACTTTTTTTACACTATTCACATTTCCTCTTATCCGTTTTAAATCTCTTGCCTTTCAGTTTCATTGGAAGTCTCCTTGCCTTATGAGGACGGATTAAATAGGAGCATCTGGATTACCTTGTCTGTACCTTTCCTTATTTGGTCATACTTTATATTAAGAAGTGATTAATAGATATTTTATTAAATTGTTAATTGTTATAGTTCAATAGATCTTATTGATTGCTTACACTCATGTTTTGTAACCACCTATAACACCATCTGATGACCATCTATAACACGTACTACTCATGTCTGTAACTTGCTTATGACATCTATTAATAACTTAACACTTTATAAACCATTTGTAAGTGAATCTTAATATAAAGTGTGCCTCACTTTTTTGTATACCTCTATCATGTTCTCTCTTAGTAATCTCTTCTAACAGTCCCAGTCTCTCCTTTTGTCACTTATCTTTGGATCCCTTTAGCCAGATGTTTCTGGATATGCGGTGATCAGAAAAGAACACAAGGTTCCAAATGAAGGCATACTATCTTTACATAATGGTGTAATATTCTCAGTATTTTCTTTCCCATCCTTTATACATTTTAGTAGTATGCTTTTCTGACCACTGTTGTGAAATGTGCTCGGTCAGAACTGGAACAACAGCTTAATTCACGTGGCATTGCTGAGGAATTGTAGTATAAATGTTATGTTTGAAGCCCCCTTTTAGTGATAGCTGCTGCAGGGGCAGCAGGTGGAGTAATGCGGGAGTACCATGTGCTCGTGGATGCTACTCTAAAATACTATTTTGATACCTGTAGTCAAAATAACAGCCCATCCTGATTTTTATTTTACACAAAGGTATTTCTTTCAATTAAAATTGCTAGCGTTAATCTTGTGTGTTACAAAACACTTTTATTAACTTGAACTAAGAAGAGATGTTGGGAATTCTGTGAAAGAAGCTTTCAAAAGTGCTGTGTATTAATAAGAAAAATAAAGTAGACAGGGAAACATGATCCATTTTGATCCAGACATGAAAAAGACCAGATTACAATTTTTACTATATAAATGCCAAGCCTTCAGTGATAATCCCAAGAGTCATTGATCCTACCGGTAACTAGAGCTGTTTTTGTATCCTTTAAAGGAAAACAATTTGACTCTTCACCATAACTTTAAAACAGACTTGTTGCACCATGAGATACTGCAATAACATATAGTTTTAATATGAACAGGCCCAGAGCACCACCACTTGAATGTATTAACAATTAAAAAAGAAGACCGCCAATATGGCATTACTAAGCACTACTGCGTCTCTTTTTGCATATAGCTGACTCCTTTTAAATCTGTTTTGCTTTTCCCTACTAAAGGGAGGAGCTGGTGTTTTTATCTAATGGTTTTTGTCCTTGGGGTGAAAGCTTAGTTTAGCATATCTCAAAGAAGATGAATCACTGGTGTGTGCTTTCCCAGGAGTGGTGACTAATGGTGGTGGTTTTTTTTTTTTTTTTTGGTAATTGCTCTAATTCTGAATGCTCTAAACTCACCATATAGCTGAAAATCGGAAATATCAATGTTATTTTTCCCTTCCCACTGTGAGCATATATGAAACTCTTTATTTCTCTTGTTCTTTCTTAGTTGGAATATTTATTTTGTCCTGCATTATGAGGCAATAATCTAAATAATTTTGTGTAACTGACAGATAGTGTTGTTTTTAGTGAATGAAAAAGTCTCATCCTTGTAGACATGGATTCAGATTTCAAGGTACAAGTGACATTAGCAGCTCTTTAATTATAGAAACAGAATTGTGTTAGCTGCAGAGTAATGTAATTTCTAAGTTTGCAATTATCTAACACGTGTCTCTAAACAGATTTGCAATAAATCCCATACTGTTAAACTAAAGACAATCAGTTTTACTATTCTTGTTGTTTTGTTATTTTCAGTTATTGTCAAAGATTATATCCCACAAAGAAGCTGAAACCAATCCTTTTCTTTTTTCTAGATGAGAGTGACATCCGATAAATCACTGCGACTTGTACTTTCCACTTTTGGCAGTTTGCGCGAGGAGCTTTGCCATCTACAAGATGACTTAGGGGTAGGTCATTGCAAAATTTAGATTCCATTGCCTAATCTCTTTGGGTGGTTGATTTGAAGGCCAAAGGGGACCATTATGATCATCTAGTCTGACCTCCTGCATAACTCAGATCTGAGTTTGTTACATTACATTGTTTGAAGTATTTGCAAGAATCAGCTTTAGTACATAAAGAAAAATTTAGACTAGACTAGTATCTTGTCCCAGCAGCAAACTCCAGTGCAGTTACCACTGTTGCATGATGACTTTCCCTTAATAATTAGCTGTATAGGTAATTGCCTGTTTTGATGAAGGATACTCTGATACCAGGATGATGTGGAAGACAGGACAGCAAAATAATAAACCTATATATACTGTGGAGGATTTATATCTACCCTTACTTGATGGTGCTTAACTTGAACACATGTAAAATTATAAAGAACAGAAATACAAAAAACAGAACCCAAAGTATTCTGTTGAACAGAATGAGACAGGAGCCAGAGCTTTCCCAGGGGCTGGCCAAAGACCAAGGAATGAACCTCGAAAGGAACAAAGGACCATCACAAACCTCACCACCTTCCACTCTAAGTGAAAGGTGCATTTCTTTGATCTTGCCTTCTCTAACATATATTAAAAAAATCCATAACACTCCACCACACACACTTCTTCCCCTGGGGGAAGGATGAGAGAACAAACGTGACATATGTTAGTCATGTTGTTTAATGCACTACTATCATGAGATGAAAATCTATATAGAAAATAATGTAACCATGGACACTTTGGGCTAAGTGTGCAGTATTGTAACAGAGCAAACAAATCAAGAATAGTATTTAAAGTGTATCCAACAAAACAGATTTAGAATTAAGTACACATTTTGGGGTTTTGTTTCATTTAGTTTGACTTTATGATGAGCTGATGAATTAAAATAATTTATCTATTTCTTTTAAAAATAAGGGGATCATTTTCTTATTTATACTGACAAATTATAGAAGCTATTCATAACAAGTACTTTTGTCTCATAGAAATTGGAAACTGACAAGATGTTACTAGAGAAAGATCTGGCTTTTAAAGAATCTCAGGTGAAGGAGTATGAAACACTGTTGGCATCTGTGAGAGAGAATAATCGCCAACAGCAGGTACATTCATATATTTATTTTGAACAAATTTACTATCCCCCAAGAATTCACACTTAGAATAAATACTGAGCTCTATGAACAACTTTCACAAATCTATTCTTGGTATAACACCTTCCAACAAAAAGGAGATAAGTTAGAGATCAGCATTCTCTGGAACATGTGAATGTGTTGTTCTGAACAACTTTATACAGTACTGTTACTGGAGATGTTCAGGCATCTAACACATAGGGTTCTGGCTAGGAAAATAAAGGGTCCAATTCTCATTTATACTAAAGCCCCATATGCTGCTCTGCCCATGATATGAAGCCTTAATATGGATCCAAATAATTTTTTCTACTTTAATTTTTAAAAATATATTTGTGTGTGTTTAAAAAATTTGTATCTGTCAGTTGCATGTGAATGAGATCTGGAAATGTGTTCTGTGTAGGATATGGTAATTGCCAAAAATATCATAATTCATAGCCATTCTAGCAGAAGCAATATGTTGAGGCTGCTAGTAATTTGTTTACAATTTTTTTAGTAATGTTCCACGTACAATTGAAGTTGTTGTCCGCCTGTGAAAGCCAATTAAGAATTTAGCCCACTATATCAAATAAAGATTGGGGGTAGGGAATTTTGTCCAAAACTAGTGATTTTGACGAACTTCCTCGCTTGAAAAATCCAGTGCTAAGGTTCATAGCTTCTTCTAGAGTGAAGTTGGGCATTCTAGGAGGTAGACCAAACTCTTGCCACACATGCTTACACCAACACTGGATACAGTTTATACACTAAAGGCCTGGCGCAGGGAGGTGCTGACTGCCTTTAATTCCCATTGATTTAACAAAAGTTAAATATGTGCAGCATCTCCCCACAGCCGGCTCTCCAGCTGATATGAATCAGCTATGAATAAAGTTATGTAGGACAAGAAGTTAAAAAATGGCTCCCCATAAGTAACTGTATACCCAAAACTGAGCTTTGCTCAGACAATCCTTGAGACTACCTCACTGACCATATCTAAGAATTTTTTGTGTGCTGCTTTCATAGCAAGGACTCAGAGACAGTGCTTCAAAATGTCGTTCATTGGAGGAACAGATCATCTCTCTCCGGTATGCTGAGGGAGAGAAGGACTGTCGGTTAAAAGAACTGGAATACTGCAAGCGTGCCTTGGAACAAGAGATCCAGAACCTGAGAATGCAGGTAATGGGTTTTTTATGTTCCTGTCAATATTTTTTCACTCATAAATCCAGCTGCACTAGATTTAGAATTCTTTAGAAGGTGGACATGTAAAGATAATTTTAATACAGAGCAAACTTGTTTTCTCATCTGATGATACATACTTTATATCCTTATAACTGTATTAAACTGTATAATAATTAAGAGTGCTATAATTTTATTTTGCATAGACCTGTTCTAATCCAGTGATACAAACCACCACAGATGAGCTCTCTAGTCGTTACGTGGAGATGATTAACAACCTGAGAGAGGATAAAGATAGAGAGATCCGCAATCTCAGGGTATGTTGGTTATCTTATAACATATACATTCATAATCATATATGGATTTCTGAGCAAAGTATGGATATAGGAAAGTGGCAGGTTCCATTTTCAAAATTACAAAATGGAAAAAGCTTATACCAACCAACTATACATACTTCAGGTATTTTGTGGTTTGAAATTAGAGATAGTGGTTTCCGTTTTGGACCCACTGAAATCCTGGCCTTATTGTTCACGTTGTGTTTGGTTTATAACTAAAAGTTCACTCTCCAGAAGCAGATTTTACAGACTCTTTTCTGACTCCAAACGGGGTTGGCAGTTTTACTACACATTAGAGACTTGTGAGTTGAGCATAAACAAAAGATTCACGTATCTTGAGGGGATGCAAAAACTAACCAGAAAGGCAGCTTTCATAAAATAAGACAGATCCTGATTTAAATTGTACCTATAAAACCTCTGTCACATCAAGGGTACTGTATTTATATTTGGCCTGCCTAGAGATCATTCTAACTTGTGCTGTAATTGATAACCAAAAGAATTTACCAGAGCATGCTGAGTTTCATAAACCTACTGATACCAAACAAAATAAAAGCACCAATGAACTACTAAAGTAATAGTGTTAACTAGGAACCACTCCATTGCACCAAAAAGGAGCTAAAATCATTTAATTGAAGTTGACCTATTCTTGAGTCTCCCTGAACATTTTTTTAATATTCATCTGGTTATTTTAGTGTAGTTTCTTGCTGTGTGAGAATCCACACAAACATAAGGGGATGACATCTAAAGCGCTGACAAATGTACCAAGTGGACAAACTGGAAATACAAATCTTTTTTCCCTTTTATTTCTGTTAGAGTACTCCAAGGTATTGTACCAATAGCAGATATAAAACTTTATTTAAAACTTTTAAATAAAATTTGGATTTTTAAGTGTATTATCCTTTTATTACTTGAGGAAAATCCTTCATTTTCAGAGTCGTGTCCAGGACTAGTCACACAGACAGAGGACCATACTTTCTGTATTCATATATTCAGGGTCATGATCGTTATTTAGGCTTCTAGACACTACCATAATACAAATCTTAAATAATTATAAAGTAACAGAAAACAAACAGCAGCAAAACATGGGAGAAGTAGTGCATTAAATAAAATAAATCCAAAAACTGGATAAAATTAGCTTAATTCTAGTTTAAAGGTGGCCAGCAAAGGAGGAAAAAGTTGGACTTTTTGCCATTTTAGTTCATTATATTTTGAAAAGACCTGAAAAGCTTTGTGTGTGTTTTTGGTGGTTTTTTTTTTTTTTTTACCTTTTTCTTTTTAAAAAAAACCATAATATCAGTAATTCAAGTTTAGTGTTCCACAGTTTTGACAGAAGATGCTGTTGGGGATCTAACTTTTAACTAAGCCATCTTTTCTCCTGTACAGGTGTGTGTGAGAAAAAGGTGTTAACTAAAAACAAACCGAACAGTTTTAAACATATGAATAAAATCAGCTTCTCCTGTCAATCAAGTTTAATTATCCGAATTCTACCGGTTCTCCAGTTGCCTGTAGCACCTTTCAGAAAAAACAACATAGACAAACTTGAACTTCCTCCTTTTCTTTTCCCCCCCCCCCACCCTCCCCATCAAAATAAATAAATTAAAATTCAGATATTTCTGAAACATAAAGCAGCAAAAAAAAAAGGGGGGCACAACTCCATTGTTTGTTCATTGTGGGTCAGCTTTATTTAAGATATGTAGACTTCAGAGCTATTCTTTTCCTTAGATTCCTTAGCATGTGTATAACTATTTATTTTAAAGTCGCAGCTAAACCAGTTCCAGCAAGATATTTCAAGAAGAGATGGAAGTAACAGTGACTTCCAGATGAGGCTGCATGAACTTACTTCAATGTTAGAAGAGAAGGAGACTTTTATTAAACAGCAGCAAGAGGTAAAAGAGTGTTCATTTGTGCTGCAGTTTTATAAAGTCTATTATAACTCTTACCCTGTTGCGGACCATAAGAACATTCAAATTTTAACTGTGTAAATCATTAGAATTTAAGGTGGAAGAGAGAGAGCGGGTGGGGTAGAGAAGATCTGCCAAGATAAGAAATCAGTGGTGCTGTTTCCTTTAATTGCTCTGCTACATGTAAACTATAAGGCTTTGGTTTGCAGGACATTTCTTCCATCTATAACTATAAAATTCCTCTGTAAGAATCTTTAATACTTATCAACAGCTGCCCCTTCCTTTCCTCCATGCTAAGTGGATGCCAGTGGACTCTATGAGCATGCTTCATAGAGAGGGGAGTTCTGCCACCTGTTCAACCTTTGTGTCTCCTGAAACAGGAGTAAGTTTTTGCCCAACCCCTAGTAATAACATTGACTGTTAGGTAGAGCCTGTAGGCCTTTCTGTGACCCAGTCTATTGGAATAAAACTTTATTCCATTGTGTTTAACCTTAAGGTTAAAAGGTGTTTAACCTTAAGTATTTTCTTGTGACTTTAGAGTTAACATTTAGTGAAGAGTTCAGAATTACCATTTTTATTTTTGTTTTCTCTAGGAACTCTTTAGGTTGAAGCAAGAAAGATTCTCATGCAATGAATCCACAGGTGTAACAAAGTCTATCATCACAAAAAAGTAATGTAGCAATACAATTCTTTTTTAAAATGTTTTTTAATTTTCATTTCATTTAAATTTCATTTAATTTTCAGTAATTATACTGGTTTTCGCAGAAGCAGTTGCCTGCAAATGTCAGGTTACAAGATTCTCTTTTAAAATGTTTATTTAATAACAATGCTTAGAAAAAACTCCAGAAAAATGTCTGGAGAGGATGTGCTTTATATAGTCCCACTGACCATTTTAATGAAGTGTTTGGCGGATGTGAAAATAAATGAGTGTGTTCCTTCTTCTGAATCTCACTTGATAAACTAAACCTTAGAAGGTTGTATATGTCTGAGAAATACCACTGTTCTATCCTATTGCACTTCTTATTCAAAACGTGTATTTATGGCCAGAAAACTATCAGAATAAATATGGCAACCTCCATCCTTATGTGAATGCTGATTTAGATTTGCTTGCTTTAGGGATAAAAAATATGTACTACTATTTTGCTCTTCAGAGGTTGACATAAGGCATCGGTGGGAGCAAGGCTGTAGTGTAAACACTGACATAAGCTGCAAGGGCCCCATTACACCTCCACGAGAGGCGTAGGACTTATGCTGGTGTAGTTAGGACGTTGGCTGTCTTGTCAATTTCACGGCTCCGTGAAATTCACAAGAAAGCTGGCTCCCCACCCAGGCTGCTCCCTGGGAGCACAGCAACTGACAAGAGTCCGGGTGCGGATCTCCCTGCCAGAGACAAATAGCCCCAGGAGGCTGCCCTCCCCCCGCTCCTGGCAGGGAGTTGCATGGAGCTGAAATCCCTGCCTCTTAGCCTCAGGCACTGCCCCTCTTCAGTCAGTGGAAGCATTCCTGGTGAGGATGCACACCACTGACAGAAGGAGGGTAGTGTGGACATCAGCCACCGTGGTAATTACTGTGGTGGCTGTAAGTTGCGTAACATCGGACATGTCTACACTACAATCTTAAGTCGACCTGAGTGAACTGGGCTCTCTTCTGAATTGTGTAACAATAAACTTTAAAGGGGTCACTGCTTTTTTTTTTTTGTGCCTTTTTTTTTTATTAATCTTAAAGTATACCTTGTTTGTGTATGGGTGTGAAGGCTGGAGATCGAGCTGTATTAATTTATGAATACTGTATGGCTACATTGGGTTATGGGAAGGTTTACTCTAAGCATGCATTGGTTTAGTTAATAGCAGTGCTCTAAGGAAACAAGCAGGAAGGTAACAGAGTGGATTCAGATAAAACACCTCCTGGCAAACTGCTCTGAAAGTTAAGAAACAACATGAGAGCTATGATGATGCATCATGCAGGATCCAGCCAAAGTTGCAGCTGTTTTGCCAAGGCTAGGAACACACATGTCAAAAGAACAGTAAACAGTTAAAAACAGTCTGTACTGTTGCCATTTATTTTTTTGGCCTCTGCAACTGTATGCCTGTGTCTTTGAGCATCCCTTAATGCTAATTAATGGGTGTTGGACATAATCATGGCATATAGTTTGTAATTAGTAATGAGCGTTTGGCTTTAAAAAAAAAAAAAAAGGTAATACGTGTGGAAACACTTCTAAAGTGGATGCCTTTGAGGAGAAAGAAAATTTTGGTTGGTAACCAGTTAACTAAAGCCTTTTAAAAACTATGTTTTAAATATTTACTTAACTCTTTTTAAACAAATCTGGGTGCGATAACTAATCTAGAAATGAGTATTGTGGGGGAAAGGTAGAATTTGGTCCTCCAAGGCAAGATACTGCTTTGGACATAGGTGTTTAGAAAGCTTAACAGAGACATACAGTATTCCACTTACAGTTTTGCACAACTTTTTATACAGGTACATGAACCAATATCCAATCCTTGGTCTCCTGTCTGATGACTACATGGTTTCATCACCAGTTAGACAAACAGAGACTATTGTAATTGAGAAGACTGAAGCAATGTAGAAACATGTAAGCTATCCATGTTAGTTATATACCATTTCTTGTTGTCGATGTGCAGGTTCAGTACTCTAAAGAAGCCAAAAATGGGCTTGTAAAAAGCATTATTTCAACAAAACCTATTTTGGAGGCTTCTTTTCTATTTCAGTAAATAAAGTAGCAAAATGAGCAATGAGTCAGTAAGAACAGCCTTGAGAATGTTTCATAATCGACAAGTACAGTGACATTTCTAAAAATGGTCTATGCATGTTAGTGAAGAATAATAAATAGAAACAGCCTTTACTTTACTTGTACCTCATATCTTACAACCCTACTTTTAGCTTTTGAAAGGGTTACAGTTTTTATTGATATTACACCATAAGAAGTACTGAAAATGTGCTCTATTTTCTGTTATCTCTAATAGGATGTACCACACCCTCAATAAACTAGTAGGGTGAGTGAATAAGAGGCTCTTGTACAAAACTCAAAGTCCAGGGACTCTGGTGGCTTCAAACCATCTTTATGCCCTCTGAAGTCTGGGCTGCTCTTTTGGCACTGGAGTCTGGTATAACTGAGACAGTTACAAGCAGCTTCAGGGTTGCCCCACAGCATTGCCTGGAATTCCTGCTTGCTGTAAACTAAAGCCCCCACCCCTCCCACTACATATAATCTCCAGGGCTTCTGAGGGGATCCTCAGCAGCCAGCCTTACACAGTGCGTGAGGAGTCCTCCACCAGTTGGAATCAGCATTGGTTTTAGGGCCCTTTTACAATAGGTGGAGCAGTGCATAGGGCTTGCTTTTGGATACAAGTAGTTTGCAGACAAAGATTCCTGGGGAGCAGTACTTTAACCCTGAATATAAATAATAAATATACACCCAGCACCGTAAACTTAGCTGGCACTTCACACAGACAAACCAGTTCCTTTCACTGAAGAAACAAACACATGACAGGTAGGAACGATTAGTGGGTTTTAAAGAGAGAGTGGAGAGCATGGTAGGGGAGAACAGGGAGGCTGTTCCTGCTGTAGGGGACACCATAGGAGTAAACTCAATTCTGAGTACAAGGAGATTAAGAGAGGATTGAGAGGGGAAAGGTGGTGGTAGAGGTGTAGAAATTTTTTTTTTTTAAATCGATAAGGGCAGGAAGCTGGAATTTGAAATGAAAGATAAAAGTCCGATGTTTGAGGTGGGCAGGGTGAAAGTGTTTCTAACCCTTCTCACCAAAACACTCCTGCAGAGAGACCACACAGGTAGAGATTGATCATCTCTCACTTTGCATAAGGTAATGTATAGTCAGGTGTTTAAACAAGAGGGAATTTTAGTAACTGAATATGGAAGCAGCAGCAAAAACAGAAAGACCAGAGGAGTTGCCAGTGAAGATGAAAGCAGGAAGTGGGATTAGAGGGAAAAATTAACAAGTTAATTTTGTAGAGACGGAGTTTGAGATGGTGGCTGGACATAAAAGCAAATTTGAATGAGGGAAGAAAATGGGGAGTAGTTCTAAAAAGGGAAAGTAATAATGGAAGACTAGGTTTTTCGTACTTATTAAATCATCATCAAGCCTAAAGGAAATCCAGATGTAACAGGGCATGCAACTAAGTTCAAGCCTGGGTACGCAAAGATGTACGTTTAAAGAAGTCACAAGGGGGAGTTGGAGCCTGTTTGAAAGTTAAACATGTTTGTTTATTTCACTACAGGAGAGAGAGTACTATAAGCTGAGAGAAATTTTGAGTTTTTATCTCCTGCAAACACCAGAACAGCTCCCTAAATGAAAAATCCCTCCCACACTTCAATGGGAGCAGGATTTCACCCCTTAAGTCAACGGCACCAGGTTTTCACCCAAGATCTTTATACAGTAGCACCTCAGAGTTACGAACTGACCAGTCAACCACATGCCTCATTTGGAACTGGAAGTATGCAATCAAGCAGCAGCAGAGACCAATAAATACAGTACTGTTAAATGTAAACTACTTAAAAATATTTTTTTTTAAAAAGGGAAAGGAGCATTTTTCTTCTGCGTGGTTAAGTTTTAAAGCTGTATTAAGCCAATGTTCAATTGTAAACTTTTGAGAGAATATCCATAACATTTTGTTCAGAGTTACGAACAACCTCCCTTCCCAAGGTGTTCATAACGCTGAGGTTCTACTGTAGCAGGTTTCAGTTGAAAAGAAATTACTTTACTTAAGTTACAAACCTACGACAATATAGGTTTATACTAGTAGTGTTTTATTTTCAACTTCACCTGTAACATTACAAATGCTACTGTAACAACAGATGAGGCAGTGTATTTCAGTTACCACAAAAAATTATCAGCATTTAAGCAAGTTTTTGTCACTGAAATGTGGTGGTGGGTATAGGTAAAATTTTCAAAAGCACCTATGTGCTCATTACTGCAGTTTTAAAAAATAAATAGCAGTTGAGTAGCATGCTACCATGAGTACCAGAATATTTAAACCTGGGTGCTTCAAGTTAGGCACTGAATGGGAACTAAGGCTATTCACTTTGGTATCTGAGTCCCCTGGAAAGTCAGATACCTATTATATAAAAACCACCATGTTCCTTGCATAGACTTATTTGTAAACACTTGTACATGTACAGCAAAATTTTTACATATGTGAAATCTAATGTGATGTTTGTTTTGTGACAGGAATAACTTCCACTCAATTAACTGCTTATTTCTTTTAGGAATGAGCAGCTGGGACCGCCACTGGATCTGTTCAAAGGCGCTCATACCAAATGACTGTAACATTGCTTTACCTGCTGCTGTTTTTCATCATTAAAAGGTTCAGTCTAATATTTAGAACCAGGCCTTTCCCTGAACCCGTCTAAGCTGTATGTGTTAAAGACACACAGTGGGAAATAATGGATTGTGAAAAGCAATGGCTGGCCTTACTCAAAGCAAGCAATTAACTTCTATCTGATGAAGAACATGCATTTTTCATAGTCTGCCCATTACCACCACTGTGTCGTAACACACACAATACTAACATTACGTGCAGTTAAATCCCAGACACTACATTCTCTATGGAGATGAAAAGCAACATACCATTTATGACGTTCAGTCATTCCAGACCACATTGAGTAAAGGGGTATTTTCCATTCCTCTGTCTGTCTTGCTGCATTACTAAGGAGAGGTCCAAAAACCCCACCTATATTTAGATTGCATGTTGGCTTTTTCTCTGCATGCATGGTGAAGAATAATTGTCATAACAGTTGTGAACGGCAGAGACAAAATTACATCGATTACAAATGACAGGGTAAAGTTTGACATATATCTCTGTGGTAAGCACGTCAGCATTTCTTGCAAGGGTGGCACTCATGATTTTGATACATTTAAGTGTTTACAAGATTTTCTAGCAGTAGAAACTGGTACCGCTATTTTAAAGTGTTACTTTATAACTTCACGGATCTTAGGGCTTGTCTATACTTACGCGCTGGTTCGGCGGCAGGCAATCGAACTTCTGGGTTCGATTTATCGCGTTTTGTCTGGATGCGATAAATTGAACCCAGAAGTGCTCGCCGTCGACTCCGGTAATCCTGCTCGGCGCGAGGAGTACGCGGAGTCGACGGGGGAGCCTGCCTGCCGCGTCTGGACCGCGGTAAGTTCGAACTAAGGTACGTCAACTTCAGCTATGTTATTCATGTAGCTGAAGTTGCGTACCTTAGTTCAAATTGGGGGGTTAGTGTAGACCAGGCCTTAGATTGGTTCCAATCCTGCACTTATCTCTTCTCATCTGTCCATACTGAGATCAAATGCTAAGTGCAGCCAGGAGGTGTATCTAGAACTAATGGAAATTTAATCAGTGAAGTTTACATAAAAAAAAGCACACATAAAAATTATGATCTCAAAATGGCATGAGAAATTCTAGAAGTAAAAGTTACCTCTCTGAAAATTTCTCTACATAAACTAACCAAAATGTTTTAACTTGGGAGCAACTCCATCCAAGATAAACTCCCTCCATCCAGCTCCTCAGTGCTGGGCCATAAGTGATGAGTACTAATTTTGCAGATATATTTTATGAAAAACAACATCTATAATTTGGCAAAATAATCTTGTAAACTTTTAAATTTAAGGCAACTAAGTTTTTAAAAAGTGCATTAAAGATCATATGAATAAGTTTTTGATTGAACCTTTATAAACTGAAAAACAGCTGTGACTATTTGTACCAGGCATAGTTTAAGATTCTTGAAATTTACTTGTAAATCAAAATTTCAAGAATGTGGCGTATACATTTTTTTTATATTGGGAAAAGTAGAATGAAAATAGAGCTTGGGCTATATTCTGTTGTTAATGGAGCAAAATTCCCACTTGATTCAGGACCACAGAATGTGTCCCAATGATTTTGGTGTAAGAGATAAAATAGAAAAAGAAGTAATTTGAAGCAATGGGGTAAGGTTTGAAAATATATATATATAAAAAAGAAGATACTGGGAGGAGAGGAATTAAGGGATCTACAATACTTAAATAGGTGCTAGCTTTTAAATGCTTTTGTAAAGGTTTTCCTTTTCTATTTTTCTGTGGATTGATTTAGTTATAGGAACTTGGAGTCCATTTTATATCCATACAGATGGTCAATATATATGTTGGTGAGAGTACTTGTGACCTATGGGTGATAATAGCTGGGAAATAAACATTCTTTGTCTATTAATAAAATATCGTGTGCAAGTTTAATTTCCTGTTAACAAAACCTTACAGCCATGCGCCCATCTGCTTTAGAAAACATCTAATGCCTATCGTTTAATTCTTTAGATACATTAATGGCTCTAATCGGCTAGGCTACTTCATGCTACATTTTTATTTAACACTGTTACTAGACCCCAAATCCTCCATGCAGGATCTAAGGGGAGGAGGCAGAGTACGCTCAAAGGCACTCAGGGGAGAGAGCCAGGCATAAAGCTATGCTTGCTCTATAGTCTGCTTTTGGTTTATGGCCCTTTGCACCACCAGAGTAAGCACAAAGAAATTATCAATATTTTTAATTTTGAGAATATCAAATAGTTACTGTCCCCTCTCCACCCCGAAGTCA